AGAGAGAGAGAGAGAGAGAGAGAGAGAGAGAGAGAGAGACAGAGAGAGAGAGAGAGCGGGAGAGAGACACAAACACAGAGAGAGAGAGAGACGCTCATCATCCTTATGTCAGATTCAAGACAGTAATACTATTGCAGTATTATAAATTATTTTTTAAAATTCAGTTTTAAAATTGTTTTATATTTTAGTTTAGGTTTTAATAATTTAGTTTTTTGACTTTAATAATAAAGTTTTACTTTTTTTACTTTACTTTTTGTAATTTTCGTACTTATTTATTTCAGTTAGCTTCCAAAGCAATGTTTTTCATTTTCTAAAATAAAATAAAAAATAAAAAAAAGTTTTCTAGAAGGTTTTTCTTCTAACATTTATTTTATTCAGGTTTATTACAGTTAACTAAAACCATATAAAAACATTTTGTTTATTACTTGAAATTAAATAAGCCTTATCTGAAATATATAAAAATATAAAAAATATATTTCAGTTTTTTATTTTATTTTAAATAACAAAAATGTTTTAAGTGCTTTTAGATGTAATATTAGTTGACTATAATGATGACCCTAACTGAAATAAAGCTGAAAAGACCAAAGCATAATCTCTCGGTTTTCTATAGTTTAACTGGACGTACTAAAATAACAAACTAAATAAACTAAAACTATATAGACATATTAAAATAAGATAACAAAAACATACAACAAAATAAAATCTATAATAGTATATCAATAATACTAAAATAACCAACTACTGTAAAATGATTTTTATAAAACAGATAGTTCCGGTCTTTGATTCTGATTGGCTGAGCCCCGTTCGAAGCTTCTGTGTGTTGCTCGGCAACCACTTTGTAGCAACCACAACTGTTTCTGAGGAGCTACATTGTTTGGTGGAAGAATACTGTGTTTATTAATATCATTACACTTTATTTGCTCTGTTTTATTTTGTGTAATCTTACTACGTATATGCAATAACCGTTTTATAAAAGCAATAACCCCCGTGAAGCTGTGGTTTAAGGTGAGTTTATAACAGCTAAGGGGCCTTCAGAGTGGCCCTTCTTGGGGCTTATTGCTTTAGTAATAGTTACGTGATCAGTAAGTGTCAGTGGTGTGCTGGTGATTGAGACACTAGAAGGGGATGTGGAGTCACATACTCTTCAGTGTGGGCTGAACCTTATAGCCAAAGAAGCAGTTCCAGTCCTCGCCGTTATACACACGACTGCAGCGCTCCGGAACCACGCTGTTCCAATATCTGAACACAAAACACAAAACACGGTCCCACATACAGTATAACCGCATAAACACGTGTGAATGTGTGCGTGTCTCACCGCACTCCTCTCTTGATGGCCTCGGTCGGAGCACAGCTGATCGTGTCGATGCAGTCGGTGAAGCGGTACTGTTTATGATCCAGAAACCAGCCCGAGTCCGCCAGACCCCGAACCTGAACCGAACCGAGACCCAGATCCTCCAGCAGCTCCGACACACGGTCCACATTCAGCAGCACTCCGGTACCACCGGCGCTGAAGACACAACACAGCCGAGATCAGTGTGTTTCAGCAGTGAGATCAGCACTGCATCAGTGTCTCAGCGATGGATGCTCTGCAGTGAATGGGTGCCGTCAGAATGAGAGCTGATAAAAACATCACAATAATCCACAGCACTCCAGTCCATCAGTGAACATCTGGAGAAGATAAAAGCTGAAACACATCCAGCATTAAGACGTTTTTAACAAATACATAGAGTCTATAATCCATAATAACTCTTCCTCCAGTGAAAAAGTGCATCTGCTGTTGTCTCTCGCATCAAAATCCAGCCACATATGTGTTTAGAGCTGTTTAAACGCTGCTTGATCTGTGCAGATTTCTCTCCTGATTCACACCAGAACACTGACTCACTGGAGGAAGAGTTATTATGGATTATAGACTCATATAAAAACGTCTTAATGCTGGATGTGTTTCAGCTTTTGTCTTCTCCAGATGTTAACTGATGGACTGGAGTGCTGTGGATTACTGTGATGTTTTTATCAGCTCTCATTCTGACGGCACCCATTCACTGCAGAGCATCCATTGCTGAGACACTGATGCAGTGCTACATTTCTACAAACCTGATGAAGACACAAACTCATCTAAGATATATAGAAATGTAGATGTAACATTTTAAGTTTATTACATTGTATATACAAATATTTAATTATATTTGGGACTATATTGAAGTTGTAAAAGTAATCTTGTTAACTGAAATAAAATGTATACATTTGACGAACGACCTAAACTTAGAAAAACAAATGAATTTGAATAAAAATTATAAGTATTTAACTAATAAATAAGTTTAATAGATGAAATATAAGTTGAAGTGTTAAAATAACTGAAACTGAAATAAAAATAAAGCTAAATAGGTATTTTTAAAAAAGACAAACATAAAATTAAAAAAATTAAAGGCAATTAAAATGTTAGTAAATATTCTAATAGTATATAATACTAAAATATGGAGTGGGCAGAGCTCGTTTGGCATGATTTGCTCACTGTGAGCATAAAGCATTGATTAACAGCCTCACAGCTCACATTATATTATATATATTATAATAGTATATATCTTAAAGGGGTATACACATGACAGGAGAAATTAAATTTGCCTGGATCTTTTGGAATGTAAGAGGTCTTTGTAACATTAAAACATCCTCCTCGTTATAAACAAAGCATTTGTTTAATCAAGCTCCAAAAACAGCTCGTTTGGATCTGAGGTGCATGATGACATCACAATGATGAGGTGCAAACATTTGCATAAACACGCCTCCAGTGCAAGATATCGACAGATAGTCATCTTCCCGCCCACTGGCGTTCAGTCGCTAACGGCTGACACTTGATTACACTGAATGAGCGAGTCGGGTCGCGTCAAAAGCAAATAGAAATCACAATCACTGCCGCTATGTTGTCTACACTGGATACAGTATACAGATGCGCTCGAGTCTGTCATCAAAAGGACAAATGCAATGAAAGAACATTAGCTTTGATGCGTTTGGTTTAAACAGCTCGTTTGCGTCTTTGTTTGGACAGATATCAGAAGGATCCCAGCATAAGGAACAAGTGGATAGTTTATTTTTAATGGCTTCCCGGATCGTGTCTGAGTATTTTGTTTTGTAATCGAGGCACAGTGTCATGGAGAGTTCACAAAGAATCATTTGTTGAGAGATGAAGCGTTGCTAGATCTGAGTGCAGCTGCATCACAAACCATAAGTAAATGATTTCATAATGCTTTGTTTTGACATGAAAAAAAAACTGTCATTTCCAGACACTCACATGCAATAGTGAGGGGGCGTCGATACGGTTTCCTATGCAATGACGTTAGCCAATCATAACAGTGGCTGATTACTGACAAGCCTTAAAAGACACGCCCCTTAAAACAGGGGACAGAGGGTCAGAACGAGGTTTGAAAATAATCTTTTTTTTTTTGTGCAAAAAAACTTTATTAACATTATAAGTAAACCTAAAGGAACATCATTTCTACAAACCTGATGAAGACACAAACTCATCTAAGATATATAGAAATGTAGATGTAACATTTTAAGTTTATTACATTGTATATACAAATATTTAATTATATTTGGGACTATATTGAAGTTGTAAAAGTAATCTTGTTAACTGAAATAAAATGTATACATTTGACGAACGACCTAAACTTAGAAAAACAAATGAATTTGAATAAAAATTATAAGTATTTAACTAATAAATAAGTTTAATAGATGAAATATAAGTTGAAGTGTTAAAATAACTGAAACTGAAATAAAAATAAAGCTAAATAGGTATTTTTAAAAAAGACAAACATAAAATTAAAAAAATTAAAGGCAATTAAAATGTTAGTAAATATTCTAATAGTATATAATACTAAAATATGGAGTGGGCAGAGCTCGTTTGGCATGATTTGCTCACTGTGAGCATAAAGCATTGATTAACAGCCTCACAGCTCACATTATATTATATATATTATAATAGTATATATCTTAAAGGGGTATACACATGACAGGAGAAATTAAATTTGCCTGGATCTTTTGGAATGTAAGAGGTCTTTGTAACATTAAAACATCCTCCTCGTTATAAACAAAGCATTTGTTTAATCAAGCTCCAAAAACAGCTCGTTTGGATCTGAGGTGCATGATGACATCACAATGATGAGGTGCAAACATTTGCATAAACACGCCTCCAGTGCAAGATATCGACAGATAGTCATCTTCCCGCCCACTGGCGTTCAGTCGCTAACGGCTGACACTTGATTACACTGAATGAGCGAGTCGGGTCGCGTCAAAAGCAAATAGAAATCACAATCACTGCCGCTATGTTGTCTACACTGGATACAGTATACAGATGCGCTCGAGTCTGTCATCAAAAGGACAAATGCAATGAAAGAACATTAGCTTTGATGCGTTTGGTTTAAACAGCTCGTTTGCGTCTTTGTTTGGACAGATATCAGAAGGATCCCAGCATAAGGAACAAGTGGATAGTTTATTTTTAATGGCTTCCCGGATCGTGTCTGAGTATTTTGTTTTGTAATCGAGGCACAGTGTCATGGAGAGTTCACAAAGAATCATTTGTTGAGAGATGAAGCGTTGCTAGATCTGAGTGCAGCTGCATCACAAACCATAAGTAAATGATTTCATAATGCTTTGTTTTGACATGAAAAAAAAACTGTCATTTCCAGACACTCACATGCAATAGTGAGGGGGCGTCGATACGGTTTCCTATGCAATGACGTTAGCCAATCATAACAGTGGCTGATTACTGACAAGCCTTAAAAGACACGCCCCTTAAAACAGGGGACAGAGGGTCAGAACGAGGTTTGAAAATAATCTTTTTTTTTTTGTGCAAAAAAACTTTATTAACATTATAAGTAAACCTAAAGGAACATATTAAAATATATTTTTTAATCCATGTCATAACCCCTTTAAACAGTTTATAGGTTTATGGAGAAAATGAGCAGGATTTGTATTTGGGATCCCGTCAGTGATTGGTCACCTGCTCCCGGCTAGCAGCAGCACTTTAGCACCGTCCAGACCTTTAGTCACCAGCTCCTTAACGACCTCCTGGATGATCTGAGAACCCATGAATGCATAGTCATCTGAACACAGACACACACACACACACACACACACACGATGAATGTGAATGATGGACACTGTGTGTGTGTGTGAGAGTGTGAGTGTGTGTGTGTGTGTGTGTGATGGCAGTGTGCATGTGTGTGTGTGTGTGTGTGTGTGTGTGTGTGATGGCAGTGAGTGTGTGTGTGTGTGTGTGTTAACATCTCATTGAGTGAGTAAAGCATTTATTTAGAGAGGACAGGCGTCCTATCAGATGGAGTGATGCTGTACCTGAATGAAGCTCCTCTTCCTGTTTATCACTTCTCTATCCTTCACCTTTCTTCTCTGCCACAAAATGCAGCATCAAATTGAAGGTGCTCTTTCAAAAGAGCCAGTGGAGTGTGCAGCAGTGTGAGGCCTGTAGGTGTGTGCGTATAAAGTGTCTGTTTGTATAAAACGTCTTGTGTTTCCATTAAGCTGGCAGAGAAAGCTGTCAAGTGAGACAGTGAGATTGCGGCACGCTGGAGCATGTCAGTTATGTGGGCGGCAGCACATTCAGGCCTGCTCATGAGCACATGGTGTCTGCCATTTCCACATGCTCATTCATGTTGATAAATGCACATGGATCTCTGCTCTCTTCACATTAATAGCTCAATCATAATGTCAGTGTGATAGTATAAGCAGTGTTGGGGGTAACGCATTACAAGTAACGCGAGTTACGTAATCAGATTACTTTTTTCAAGTAACTAGTAAAGTAACGCATTACTTTTTAATTTACAAGAGAATATCTGAGTTACTTTTTCAAATAAGTAACGCAAGTTACTTTTTTTTTTCCAATTTATTGATTGACAGCTCTCCTGTCCCCATGTTGAGAGAAATCAGAAGATGTTACTGTAGTTCTATAATAAATATGAATATGCATTATTTCATCTCACTCACACACACACACACACACACACACACACAAAAAAACAGATTCAGTAGTCCTCAAAATGAATAAAAAATAATGCAACTCAGAATATGACGTAAACCTGCAATAATTAAATGTCATTTCTACAAACCTGATGAAGACACAAACTCATCTAAGATATATAGAAATGTAGATGTAACATTTTAAGTTTATTACATTGTATATACAAATATTTAATTATATTTGGGACTATATTGAAGTTGTAAAAGTAATCTTGTTAACTGAAATAAAATGTATACATTTGACGAACGACCTAAACTTAGAAAAACAAATGAATTTGAATAAAAATTATAAGTATTTAACTAATAAATAAGTTTAATAGATGAAATATAAGTTGAAGTGTTAAAATAACTGAAACTGAAATAAAAATAAAGCTAAATAGGTATTTTTAAAAAAGACAAACATAAAATTAAAAAAATTAAAGGCAATTAAAATGTTAGTAAATATTCTAATAGTATATAATACTAAAATATGGAGTGGGCAGAGCTCGTTTGGCATGATTTGCTCACTGTGAGCATAAAGCATTGATTAACAGCCTCACAGCTCACATTATATTATATATATTATAATAGTATATATCTTAAAGGGGTATACACATGACAGGAGAAATTAAATTTGCCTGGATCTTTTGGAATGTAAGAGGTCTTTGTAACATTAAAACATCCTCCTCGTTATAAACAAAGCATTTGTTTAATCAAGCTCCAAAAACAGCTCGTTTGGATCTGAGGTGCATGATGACATCACAATGATGAGGTGCAAACATTTGCATAAACACGCCTCCAGTGCAAGATATCGACAGATAGTCATCTTCCCGCCCACTGGCGTTCAGTCGCTAACGGCTGACACTTGATTACACTGAATGAGCGAGTCGGGTCGCGTCAAAAGCAAATAGAAATCACAATCACTGCCGCTATGTTGTCTACACTGGATACAGTATACAGATGCGCTCGAGTCTGTCATCAAAAGGACAAATGCAATGAAAGAACATTAGCTTTGATGCGTTTGGTTTAAACAGCTCGTTTGCGTCTTTGTTTGGACAGATATCAGAAGGATCCCAGCATAAGGAACAAGTGGATAGTTTATTTTTAATGGCTTCCCGGATCGTGTCTGAGTATTTTGTTTTGTAATCGAGGCACAGTGTCATGGAGAGTTCACAAAGAATCATTTGTTGAGAGATGAAGCGTTGCTAGATCTGAGTGCAGCTGCATCACAAACCATAAGTAAATGATTTCATAATGCTTTGTTTTGACATGAAAAAAAAACTGTCATTTCCAGACACTCACATGCAATAGTGAGGGGGCGTCGATACGGTTTCCTATGCAATGACGTTAGCCAATCATAACAGTGGCTGATTACTGACAAGCCTTAAAAGACACGCCCCTTAAAACAGGGGACAGAGGGTCAGAACGAGGTTTGAAAAGAATCTTTTTTTTTTTGTGCAAAAAAACTTTATTAACATTATAAGTAAACCTAAAGGAACATATTAAAATATATTTTTAAATCCATGTCATAACCCCTTTAAACAGTTTATAGGTTTATGGAGAAAATGAGCAGGATTTGTATTTGGGATCCCGTCAGTGATTGGTCACCTGCTCCCGGCTAGCAGCAGCACTTTAGCACCGTCCAGACCTTTAGTCACCAGCTCCTTAACGACCTCCTGGATGATCTGAGAACCCATGAATGCATAGTCATCTGAACACAGACACACACACACACACACACACACACGATGAATGTGAATGATGGACACTGTGTGTGTGTGTG